AATGAGTACCTGGAACAGCGGGGGGCTCAAAGGTATTTTTTTGTAACTAGTAACAAAAAAAAATCCATGGTTTGGCAATGTCATTTTAAACATTGTATCACACTCCTAACAAGGGCCTCTTACCAGGTATCATACTAAAAGTTTACATACTGTGCCATTAAACATGTATTAATCAGTGCCAAAACAACAATTATTCTTGCAATTATACTGTTTTCCACTTTTCTAAAAGAACATGAGAAAAATGAGTCTTCCTGAACTAGGCAGATTTCTATATTTTACTGTTCTTAATTTTTTGTATACATTTTTAACAGCTAATCCATTCTCTTAGTATACTTGATAAGTGGAAGACTATTCAACACTTACCTCTTTCCATGGGCTGACAAACTGTGTCCGAGCGTATCGAGTTAGCATGTGGATTATGACAACCTGCCCCCACTCTTCAACATCAACTAGTAAGTTACATAGCTTGCGGTAATTCTTGTGAATCAGGTCTATTCTATCCGGGCATACTTCTTCAAAGGCCATCACAACACTGCCAGCTACGAGCTAGAAAAGAAAGAAATAGTAACTTATTAAAAAACATTTCTCTCCCCCAACAAAGATCCTAATCAGGATACAATGGTGTAATCAGTGTCATGACAATCAATATTTAAAGTATTCAGTCATTCAATTAAAATGAATGTTCACGTTTGAATAACAAATAAATTTTAAAATATCACTCCCTCAAATAATAATTTTAATAGTTGTAATATGTCTGGAAAACTAATACTATTCTGAAGAGAGGTAAATTCTGATTTTCTTTATTCCATAAGATTAAGTTTCAATAAATTTTTCATATACGGATTAAACATTAATTATGCACATTTTTCATTTGTAAAGGTAACCTAAATTCTTATCTAAAAATGTATTACTTAGTTCATAACAATATTCAGAAAAGAATCAAGACAATAACGAGAATGACATTGTGTCACTTTAAAATAAGAATGACAATAATTTCACAATGAATTTATGTTAAAAAGTGTATGAGGAATTCAAAAATGTTTTTAGTACAAAAACACTTTCAAATTTTACACATCTTAATCAACCTGTTTTTACCAACATAATTTATTTACAAAGAAAACACAGTGGCTGAAATTTCGGTACATCACCTGAGCTATTATCACTTTTATAAGAATGTATATGAGTTGGAATAATATATTACCAACAAAAGGTAGCTTTCTCCAAGACCAATTAATGAACCATAAGTGCTAATTTTTGAATTGCCACACTTTTAAAAAGTGGTAAAATTAAGATTCCTTTAGTATAAAGATACAAGCTAAGCAGGGTATGTAATATACAAATTCTTCTATATATGTACTACGACATACATGCAGTTAGCCAACAGTATAATACGGTTTTGAAAAAACAAATTAATATCATATTCTTTCTGAACACTAGGGATCCTCATTTTACTGTCTAAAATTTCCCCAATGACTTAAAATAAGCAATTAAATAGAAATACAACTTACTGAAATGGTACTTTTTGAAAAATATTAGATACAATGATATTCATATTTTGAGTATTTGTCCCTCTACTTGGCTGACTTTTAGTTTATTAATATGCAACCAACAATACAATTGAAAGAAAACAGCTCAGAATATAGACTTGCTATTATGCTAAACAAGTTTCAAGTCCTGTGGGGATTTTATGAATTACCAATCAGCATAAACGTGAAGCCGCATTTATTGACTCCAGCCCTGCCCATGTACTGGTGCCTGCTGGTCCCAGCATGTATACACCGCAATAGAAAAAGCAAAAAATTGATTATCTGTGTGAACTAAATAAAAATGTACTATACATATAATTTTCTATTTGCTATTGATATGGAAAGGAAGTTACGTTTGTGTTCTCAACTCCACATTGTGATGTCTTGTGCATAAACTATTCTTCAGAAATTATACTCTGTGATAATCACATTTCTATAAGGTTAGAATTAGTATCATTTAAAAATCTCTTAAAACAACTAAATTTATGACATCATACTATAAAATAACTCATTATTTGTGAGATATAAATATCTCTATATATGATTTATATATCAACCTTATATTAATATATCTATATCAATTGGCAAAGAGTGTTAAAGTGCAAAAATAAAAAATACCACTTAGAATAAAATGACCCATGAAATTAAACAGGTAAGTCAACAGTTTTTAATTTTAAAAATACTAGGTAAAATCAAGTTATTTTGTCTAAACCTAGAAATTCTTTTCTTCCAAAAGTGTTTAGACACCAAACAATTAAATGGAAAATCAGCTACCACATATTAAATTTATTAAACCAAGAGCTATAAGTATACAATAATTCTAAAGTACTAACAAATATCATAAAAAGGAAGAAAATTATTGATTACTTAAGGACAAATAAAGTTTATGGAAACATTGTAATAATTAGAAAGAATGTAAAGAGGGTACCTTTATGAAATAAAAATGACCATTTTAGATACTTCATTGCCTAGTTTTAACAATCTGACCCTGGGCTAAACACTAGAGGAAGAATTAATAATTTTGGTCTATTAAGTGTTCAATATTCTATAAAACATTTAGAACTAAAATAAAATGATCTACTCAGTTTTTAAAACCAAAAATATTGGTTTCCAAAAAACAGACAGTTAATTTCCATCTCACTGTGTCAATAATAGCTTTTCATAGAACGGGAAAAATAAATCACTCCAACAAAACTAGCAATGAGCTCATCAAATTCAAATGCAGTTTTCCATTTATGTATTTTTTATATTAAAGCAATAAACATGGTTCATTTATCTTCCCTTGGTTGCCACGTTTTTCTGTGCTGTTGCTATGAACTTTGGCCATTAGCTGTGCTCCAAGGTAAACTACATGAACCATCAACAAAAGTGACACCCCATCTATGGAGTTCATATTTTCTCCAGATTATCTATGCTAGTTGACAAGCTGGTAATGAAAAAAATCACACTAAGCAAATGGCTCCTCTAATAACAATAAATTTTCTATAAAATTATGAAGGGTACAAAACGTTTCCTTGCATCTATTTTGTCATGAATTCTAATTAACGTTGCAAAAACCTGAGAGTGCTGGGTCATCACAAGAAGTGCATCAAGGTTTGATTGATAATATGGTATAAGTTGGCCAATGCTGCCAAGATTGTCTTCCCTTAAATTAATGGCCATCCAACCTGCCCTAATCATACAGCCCAAATGATATTCCCCTTCTTATTTCAATTTTCTTGAGGCATGGAAAATGGGAAAGATTAGTCATTTATCTTCTAATAGCTGGATAATAGATCTATCACAATAAAACAGCTGCACAAACTCAGGGGTGTGTTTTTTTGCCCGTAACACTGAGGCTTTTACCAACATTAAATCAATAACTTATAAAATGGCGTCTTACCCCTACAGTTTAGCTATAAACTACCAAACTATTTATTAAACATAATTTTGTAGAAAATTAAGGAAACTTTATATCATCAAAAAAAATGAAAATCTGTTTTTCAATAGGCACTGACTTAATTTGTTTTCCTAAGAAACTCCATTTTCTATTAGAAAGTTAAATGCTATCCAAATGCTTTCCTTAAAACTAACTTGAAAGAAAAAGGAAATAAATATCACCCTCCTTCTGAGGTATTCTAAATAAAAGAATGTCCACTTCTAAGCTTGAATTGCTCAACAAATATGGATTTCTACATTTTACATTTAAAGAAAAACAAGAGAAAGTGTTATAAATTTTAAAAATGAATTCATAAGTGAACATTAGGGAAGGTCTGTAGTGAAGTAGAAAAGTGTTTCGGATATGTTGAGAAGGTGAATGAAAATGGTACAAAATTTAAGAATATACAATGAAAAATATACAAAGTTATAATAGTTAATTGGGGATGATAGAATATAGATTAAATGTTCCCTTTTAATTTCATTGACTACAGTTCTAAGGTTTCTGTATGTTTTAAAATGCACAGATACCTTCAGACGACAATTACCTAAAATAAATAACACCAAAATATTCTTACAGTTATGTTACCATAACTGTGTTCTTAAAACTAAAGTGATTTATTTTTAGGAAAGAACTATTCATATGACAAATATTGGTCTTTCTGTAATGAAAGGGAAAAGCCATTCTATTACATTTTAATATGCTTATAGCTCCATCTTTCCTTAAAATGAAAACTACAGGACTAATTTCTTTGAGATCTCAATTGAAAGAAAATCTTCCTCTAGTCTAAAAGAAGCAACAGAAGGTATGTCTCCAAATCAATAAGGTTATATGAAGAAAGTTTAATAGAGTAACATCTTTCAAATTTATATTTATCAGCAGCGATATCAATGTCATCATCTTGATAATGATACCAAGAAACTCCTGCTGACAGCAAATAAATTCCTTTTTAAAATGTGAAAATAAATTAGACTTGGTTCGTTTAATTGGGAGATTGTTAAATAAAAATGATTTGTGATTATTGTTAAGTGTCAAGGGAGAAGAAATGTACCTGTTTTCCTTCAATAAAATATTAGATGTGACCAAAAAAGGGTAATAATTAAGATAAGATCCACAAATATCTGTGTAGATATCAGAATACTTTTAACCTTTCCACAATGGATTATAATCACACAAAGGAAAAAACTGTCTGAAAACATTTTCAAAACATAATCAATTTAAATACTGGGTAGACAAGTTAATGATGCCCACGTAAATCTGAATCTCCCAACCCAAATCCCCCAAAACCAAAGGACCAAAACCTATGCCCTAAGCTGAACTCAAAACAGAGAATCTCCGTACTTTAAAGTACACATAAGTAGAAAAATAAGCCCTAAATCCCAGAGAGCTGTTTCCATGCTTATATTACAAAACTTTACAATAACCTATGACAGTAGGAAAAAAAATTACCCAGAACAAAGCAAACAGGGGTTAGTGGTAGGTGTAAGAGTAAACTAAAATCAATAATAGAAAAAAAATCAACACCCTAAGTGTGAAAATACTGAAAAAGATTCCTGGTAGTTCAGAGCAGATGACAAGGAAACGACTTAACGGAGAAGACTACTCACTAAGGCCATCTTGGAAAGGGAAACAGTTTCAAGGAAAAAATGGGTTAAAAAAAAGTAGAGGGAGAGGAGCCCCTCAGAAACTGAGGTAACAGAAAAAAAAGTAAAAGGGGAAATTTTAGGCTCCTACAAGATATATCTCAAAATAATCTTAGGACATATACCCATCCCTATGCATGCCCTTCCCCCAAAAGAACCATCTAATAAAAAAACATACTTTGCTATTCCAACAGAGAGAGTGCTCTTAATACTTGCCAGCCACCTCAAAGTCAAACCACCAATCCTGTCCATGCAAAGATGCAAATAATCCACAAGCATTAAACACAGAAAATGGAAATCATAACAATTTAACTGGTGAAAATTACCCACAAAAAAATCAATGGTGAAGCAAAAGGAAACACAACACTACAAAATGAATTAAGTACCCTCAAAAGAAGTATCTGAAGATAGAAAAACGAACATGAATTAGAAATTCAAAAACAGGGCCGGCGCGGTGGC